GTGCAGTCATTGAGAAGTGGCCAATCATGCCTGCAGTGTAAGTCATTCTCTAAATCCAAGATGCTTTAGAGTTAATTTTTTTCAGCAATAGCACTTCCATTCCTCCTTTCCCCTGGAAAAGAAGAAAAAAAAAAATGTTAGCTTTATTTTTCCATGGGAAAGAGGAAAGACATTTTGTGCGAGAGTAATTTTATATCTCCAAACATACTTTTTTTAATAAAATCTTCAAAATATTCTTACTTGAGGGGGCCCTTACTGCAGTAAATTCATGTCAACTTGCAGTATCTTATAGCACGGTAGATGACACAACTAGCTGTCAAACTAACTTCACAAATGCCTTACCTATTAACTTGAGTTCCTGAAATATATTTCTTTTAAATGCATACAGTTATTGGGGCTGAAGCGTTATCAGTGGAGTGTGAACTTCAATGTTTGATTTTTGTTTTGTTTTTAAGCTGAAGAAAATACAGAGGGTGTTATCTGTGTGAGCCAAGTTAAACAAGAGCCAAGAGAAAAAGCATTGTCTATGGAGCCAGATAAAATCAGACTGCCATAGTTCCTCACCTATTTAAATCTGTGAAGCCTGGAAGGATTTTTCGAACCGGAGAACTCTAAATGTCTTGGAAGGAAAGGCAGGTGCTCTAAAAGTAATGCCATTCTTTTTAAGTTGTATTGTGACATTCAGACTAGGCATATTTTACACTAGTTTTGACAGACAGCTGTTTCAATTTATGACTGATGTGGCTCACTGCCAATTCCAGGACATTCAGTTGCCCTGTGGAACACCACCTCTCTCTTCAATTTCAAGTTTTGAGTAATTTGGATGCTATCCAAATGGCCCATTTTGGTCGACATTTCTGAAGGTCTTCCACAATTTAATTCCTTAGCTTTAGAACGTGGATCACAATCCTGGGTTTGCTTTTCTCCTTGAGACCCTCGACTGTTACGGCACTACAGAAATCATAGAGTCTGCCAGCTCCGAGACCACAGAATCCAACAACAAAGTGTATCAATACAGCAATGGTTTTGTGACAAAACAAAGGTCCAAGATGCTAAATTTCAAAGTGATGAAGGACATGGATGCTTAAGAAAATGCAACTTTGACCCGATCATAATGTTAATGGTGTGAAGATCAAGGAGAGGAGAAAGGTGAGGTTGCCAGGTGAATGTAAGGTTGTATGATGACAAAAAGTGTGTGAATTGTAACGGTGAATGTTTTCAACTTAGACATCTTTAAACTTATGTTCTGGCTTTATAATGAGGTTCCTTGCTGCATGCAGCCTTTGCAGTGGTACTGTGTTAGCAGTTGGTCATAACAACTAAAAGCCGGAGTCTTGTCTCATGGGAAATAATGAATGCTGCCATTTCAGCTTATCTACCTTTTGCTTTATGCACTTAGCGTTATCAGCTCAGGTAAATATGATTTAACCTGCTGCTGTTTGTGATGTAGGGCTTATGGATACATCACTAACGAAGAGAGGCCCAAGAAAATAAAGCAAGTAGTATAAATCCAAGCAATATGTGCAAGTGTGATGTCACTATAACATTCAGAAAACAAGTTCATCTTTTTAAACAGTGGCAGGTTCTAAGACTAAAATGGTCCGTATCACTCAAAATAATTACCAGGTATCTTTAAAAACCAATAAGATAAAGAAATATCTTTTAGCAATATTTAAGCCAAAGCCATAATAAGTGACAAGCACTGAGTTGCATAATCTGTGACAAAAGTGTTTCTTTAAGGAAAAAAATACGCCTACAAATAATTTGGAATCCATTTAAAGCAGTAAATGAAATGAAAGTGATGCCAGTGTAGATATCCAGTTAAACAATGACATTGTTTGCTTCAGATGTTGAATTCTTAGCGCAACATTCAGAGTATTTTGTATACAGCAGTATCAGCAGTTCTGTTATTAGTTGCTACTAAGAGGTTGAGAACTTGATCATAAAATTAGATATTTTTGTCTGCATGCTGTACAAGAATGCAATCTGAGGACTTTCTCTTTTTCAGACTTAAAAAAACCCAAAACAAAACAGGAAAAAGGTTGGTTCGTTTATGTAGAGGAGAAAGTGTTAGGAATATTATATGACCATGAAGATTAAAATTTTTAAATTGTTAGATTTGTTAACATAAGTTCAAGGCATTCACAAACATCATCTAAATAGTGGCTATTTTAAAATTAATTTTTAATTTTCTTTTGAGTATTTAAAGCTAAAACTTTCAAAAGTCTCACATTGAACTTGGGTTCCTAATACCTTTATATGCAGCATCTGTTAGGTAGGTGCTATATCTTAGTCTTACCTGAAAATATATTAACTTCTGTGAGGTTAACTAACACTGTTAATGCTGTTCATTTAAAGCTAATGTTTATGGGTTAGCTTAAATTAGAATTTTCCAACAGGATCCTGCTCTTATTTAATAAGAGTCAGTATTTTATCGTGCAAGTGCATTGAGAATCTCCAGTTCTTTGGAGTTTTTCATATTTAGTTTCTATACTGACTTGTTTTGTGGTATGCCTTACTCATTTCTGGGTAGGTAAAATCCCACAAGGTTCACCCTTTCGGGTTTTTTTTTTTTGTTGTTAATTGTGAAAATACGTCCAAAATGGATGTTCTCTGCTGCAGTCATAGTTCTGGAGCCCACAGGCAGCAGTCACCTTTTCTTTTCCAACTCAGTAACTATATACCAGAACGGGTACCTCCTTCCATGCTGCTGTATTCAGTGATTCCATCATCTTTGTTTTTTCTTAAACTAATGCATTCCAAAGTATATCACCTTTTTCAATGTTACTCGTTTTTTGATAATTGTTCCTCATTTTTGAGAATGCTTATTCTCAAAAGAATAAATAAATTACAGCTAAGGATTACCAGCAAGAGGTTATTTCAGTTTTAGTTCAATGCACTTAGGTTTGTTTGCATAGAATACTTGAGGCTGATTTTTCAGAGAAAGCTATGTAGCTTGGTGCAAAGTAGTTGGTTATTACTTTGTGTTGGAATTGTCGATGTTTTTCTGATGTTTACTTTGTTTTCTTGTGGTTGTTATGTTCAAGCGTTTATTTTGCAAACCTAGAAATCCTGAGCTTCCACAGTACTGTAAATGAACAAATTATTCTCCAATTTATCCTCATTGTTGGTTACCCGTAACAGTGATTGATTGGCTTGACAAGAAGGGCTGTGCTTATGTATGTGCATGCAAAAATAATTTTTCCTAAAATATAGAGAAGACATAAAAGGGCGCACATCCGTAGCTCTTGTTCAAGGCTGGCAGCCTCTTGGATGGAAACCAGTAGTGTTAATGAGTCCTTTTTGCACTGTTCAAAAATCCGGACGTGGTCATGTGGTATGAAGATTGTTGCAGTTTGTACAAAATTTAGAGACAAATGTCTGTGTATGTATGTGTATATATATATTTATATAGCAACTTAATGTATCATATTCCTATTCAAATGTAAACTACTTTTTCTTTTAAAGTAATGGTCTATGTTGTGGTTATGGGGTTTCATGGGGAGAAATACAAGAGCTGCTTGAGGGCAGTGGTTTCTGGGGATGAAGAACAAGTAGGACAGCTCTAGGGAGACCAGGTGGAAGAAGGTCCTGAAGGTGTGTGAAAAGCAAGGGTCCTGCAGGGAGGGCTGGAAGGAGCTGCGCTGGGGGGGGGCTTCGGGGCCCTGGAAGGGGATTGCAAGCTCGTCACAAAGGCTCAGTGCAGCTCCTGAATCTATGCCAGTAGTGGATAGGGTGAGTTCATGGTAGGAATTTAAAGGTATGGAAGAAAAGGAAAGCCTGTCCTGCCCTCAAAACCAGCAGAGCTGCTTGAGTTTTGGTGAGTACCAGAGGCAGCTAAATGACTTCCCGTAGTCTGAGACACCCATTCTTATCTTCTAATATGAAGAAGAAACTCCTCTTGGACCTTCAACCCGGGAGCGTTGACTCTTTTCCTTTACATGTTACTGAGGAAAATATACCTTTTCTTCCCAACTGAATTAACTTGCTGCTCTCCTCATCCCTCTGACTGCAGCTCTGTCTACCTCAAGAACGCTCAGTATCCACCCAAGTCTCTCTTCCTTCACGCTTATTAGGACTTCCACCCAAGTCCCGTGCCCTCAGGCCCCCAAATTCTCAATGTTTCACTGTTACACTGTTGAAGCAGCTGGTGAGTTCACCGCACAAGTAAACACTGGTGAGATTTGCTCCTGTCAGTTTTTCTTCCTGTCTCCCCAGGATCCTATGTTCCTTTTAATTTCATTAAGTTTTTTCCTTGCTTGCTTTGGGGCTTATCATCTTTACCTGGATGAATATCAGGCAGCCACATTTCAGAGGACATTTGTTACGTTCACAGCAACTGAAAAGATTTGAGAAACCAAGGAGAAAAGGATAATTTCTGCCAGCTGTTAGGGCTTTATATTGAGAAACTGGCCTCTTTCCTTTCATACCACCTGAGTTCCCAATTCTCGCTGTGGATAGTAGCTGGCTGTTGACTTGTCCGTCTGTTGGCAAACTTACAATTTGCTCCCTTAAGCCTATTCAAACAGATGTGTTCTCAGAAGGTTAGGCAGGAAAAATCTGTTCCATTAGGGATAGAAAGTGTGATATAGCTGAGGATGGTGCTGTGAAAAGTTACTGCTCTTCGTGGATCTCTGATGAGAAAATTTTCCTTGATCTGCCCTTCCCTTCTGAACAAAGCTTTTGTAGGAATAAACTTCAGAGCCTATCCCATCAGTAATTATTATCTTCTCCCAGCAACAGTGCACCTCATTAACGAATGAAAAAAGCGTTGTGTAAAACAGGCTGTGTTGATTTTTTTAGGTCAGAAGCTATCCAGCAGGTCTATCCAACAAGCATCAACTAAGGTATGATCTGGGGGGAGAAGGAGGGGAAGGCAAAAATCTCATCACGTGACAGGAATGTATGTGCATTTGTTTGGGGTTATTTTCCAATGTAAGCTGTTACACCTTAGTATCTCATTCCATTTCTAATGCATGTGACAAATGACATGTTTATTTTCTGAAGTGATTTGATGGGTTTTCTGGAGAGTCTTCAAAGGAGTGATCATAAACAGTGCTGCTGTATCATAGAAAGTATTAATGGGTGTTTGTCATCTAGGGCCCCATCCTGTTCTAGTTATAGAAGGGACTTAAAAAGCATGGAGTGCTTTCTGAGGACGAATACTGAGTGTCCTTGTCCTAAGGAGTTTTTCCTGGACGGAAGATTAGGAGCATTGGATGCTGTGAGAGTAATTCTCGTCAGTAATCCGTTAGCCTGTGCTAGATAGAAGAAAACTTGTGAAAGGCATGCATATGATAACCTCTTTATGGAAAAAATTACCTTTGGATGCTTAGTAGTTTTAAGTGGTATATGCATAAGAGATTTTATGTATTGGGGAAAAAAAAGGAAAAAAGAAAATGGAGACATGAATATAGTTGTTTGCATGTAGTTCTTTAATGCAGTTTTAATTACACTTAACTGAAGTTAAATGATGCAAATATTTTAGGACACATATAATCAGATCTTTTAATGTGGATAATTGGAATTCATGTTTTTACTGCCATCCTTACTCTCTGCAGTGCAGCTCAGCTGGTCATTTGGCATGTACTGGGCTCCTGCTAATGACAGTCTGCCTGTTTAAACAAGAGCATGCTGTTCTAAGCAAATTAAATTTCTCGCTCTTCCTGATCTTTTTTTCTGATAGAGATTGATAAGGCTCATAGGAGGATGAAAATCTGTTTGTAGTATAGTGATTTCATAAGAATTAATTTCTGGGTCCTCAGTATGAAGGATCCTTCAGTATGAAGGATCTAGAGAGCAAAAACTTACATACTATTGGATCTGCCATTTGGTCATTTTTTCTAATGTACTTGGATTTCTACAGTGGGACAGTGTCAATACAGCATAAGCTACCACTAAAATACTGTTAAAATTTTTTAGCTCTATCTTTTGGTTAAATGTTGATAGTTCAGTGGCTCCAGGAAAGATCAGAGACTTGCTTCTGCTCTTTGTAGAATAGTCGTTGTTTCTAGATACTATTTAAAATGTAATTAGGCATGGCAATCAAATGGCAGCAGGAGAGCCAGAAAGAGAGAGGTGTGTGTTGGCAGATCAGGGGGAGAGGGAGGAGCTCAGTCCCAGTGTCCTCATTCCAGACTAACATTCTCTGTGCTAGTCCGGAATGCACACCTTGAGAAACAGCAATGATTTGGCTTTGTGTTCTGACGTAGCTGTTCTTTCTGCTTGCCCACTCAAGAAGTTGTACAAGCCTGCAAAGGACATGGAGATCATGAAGAAAGTGTGTAAGAACTTATGGGAGGACCTGCAGGAACGGAACGGAGGAGATTAAGGGTTGATGACATGACTTCTATAAAGCCCACAATCTTTGGTGGGAGGAAGAGGATTTTTCAATAGAGAATAAAAGTAAATCTTCCTTTTCCAAAGTATTAGAATTACTATGTCTCTCTGATCTGCTTGACAAGATGCTTAGTGTTTGGACAGATCTCAATGTTTTTATGAGTATGTACCAAAATGTTAATGAATAGTTACCCATGCATTGCCATCTTTGCACGTCATACTGAAACTGTAGGCCAGTGGTGCCACCTGATCTTTGTATTGTCTGTGTACGTTTTCTTAAAGTAAAAGAAAGCTTGTTTTATAAAGAAACAGTGGAGAGCTTTTGTCTGAAGTCTTTTCAGATATATGCTTTTTACAGAGTAAGCTTTAACTTAAAGTGGATAATGTTGTATTTCTGCAGAAATTTCTTATGAGGAAATACTAGTGCATACTTCTAACCCTGTGATAACCTAAAACAACCAAAGCTTTTCCTAATCTTTTTTTCTTTTTACCCAGAACAGGAAGCATTCCAAACTGTCCTTCAAAACCACCATGTTCAGAGGCTCAAAGGTATGGCACTTTTGTCCCTCTGTAGGGGATCTTTCATCTGTGCTGCAAGTCATTGTGTTCAGGGTCTCCCACAAAAAAAGAACAATTATAGAACCAAACTTGCACAGGGGAAGGGGCAGGGTGGGAAACAGGGATGACACCAGAATTCCTTACTTACCGCCTCTCCCATCACATGAGGACGCTTCCTTTTCATTTGCGTAATCTGACCTGGTCACTTGATAGCATGTCAATAACAATATCTGCAAACCATAGTTTGTTTGTAAACATCTGTGTCACATCAAGTCTAGATGTGACAAATTTTCTTTGTGCTTGGAATTTGCATTGGTTTAGTGAAACTAATGGTGTCATAAATGGTCAAGTCTCAAGAACTGATAGTGTCTTCAGCTGTGAATTTGGTTTCAATCTGAGCTCTGACTGAGCTAGGGAGAAATTCTGAGGCTGTGGCCATCTGTTCTGCAGTACTGGTTGAGCAGAAGAAAAACCTTCATTTTCTTTCAGCTCCCAAGAAGAGCTGTATTTGTGTTTCTGCCTGATGCAGAGCTGCTCATATTTATCTCCCCAAGGATGGCTCGTGGCATTCTGCTTTCCAGCTTAAGGGAAAATAGAGGTTTCCACGTATGAAAACTTGATGGTCAGTGTACATAGTCCGAGTGAGTTGGGAGCACCTAGAACAGTCACCCTCAAGCATGCTGTAATTTAAGCTGTGTTAGGAATGGGAGCTGGTAGAAGTAATAAGCAACTGAAGAATATAATGGTAAAAGTAGGCATTCTTGCTCTTCACGTAGTATCCTCCTCACACCGTACCTTTTCTTAAACATCTTGAGAGAAACACTGGTCAGCAGTGGGAGGAAAACAAATCTCAATTTATGCCCCGCTCCCCGCAACTTACAGTTTAACAGTGGTTTCGCTAATTAGCTACAAATTTGGCCTAAAAAAATATCTTCTATCCTAGATCTAAGTGTACAGTATTTAATTCCTAAAGGACCATGCTAATAATTCAGTTGTGCTTTGTCAGGTCACTGTTCTTTTAGACATAAATTCAACTTTCTCACAGATGTTTCTCTTAAAGCTAAAATTAAATGGGAGAGAGAATTGGAAATTAATTATTTATGTTTCTTACAGATGATGCTCTTCACACTTTCTGAAGTGTGCAGGTGTTTCCTCCTTAGCTTCTACTTTTAGCTCTTAGTTCACTGTGTGTTGGATGTTTTCTCAGGATCACTTACCTCTGAGAGTACTCCAGATAACCGGCAAGAGACCCAGAATGGAGAACAGAAGAGGAAGTGAAGTTTGGGGAAAAAAAAAAAAAAAAAGCTGCTTGCAGGAGATTGAAAGCTATCAAAGTTACAGCTAAAGATTGCAGTTTCTTCTGGCTGAAGTGGTTCACTTTAAATGGTAAATTTTTTTTAAATATACAACTTTTTTATTATTGATTTTGGTGCTATTTATGCTCTGAGCTCACATCTAATAAAGGCTAGAATGGTAATCGTGTATATTTGCTTTTATCTTCAGTGCACTAGTTATCTTCTGAATGCAAACTGGTGTAACAACTCCATGTTCTTGGCTGTTGACAAAGTTGTTATCACATCTGAGGTGTTTTGTACGTGGAAGGAGACAGAGGAAGTGGGAACCTTCTTGACCTTACTTCTACTGAGAACAGATGATCTGTGGAAGGAGGGCTTTACCAGTTTTAAATCAATATCTTCAGAATAATTTGGTGGGTGCACAGGTTTTTCATGTCAGGTTCTAGTGCATGTCTAACTTTGAACATAAATATAAGCCATAAAATTACCTCTCCCTGGCCTCTCCATATTTTTTTTGTCTCCTATCACTGTACTCATACTCAGCACTGTTTGGGAGTGGGGGAATTGTTTTAACACATTCTCATCTACCAATTTTCTGCCTTTGTCTCCCATTGCCTTTTTCTCCCATCCAGAGCAGCACAGAAACAAAAATATTTTTTTTAAAAAACTGTTCTATCATCCTCAGTTTTCCATGGTTGGGGATGAATTTCCTCTTTGCTTTATTGTGCTAGAGGTTGTTCCGTTGCATGACTGAAATGTAAGATGCTGTTACGTTTTGCTTGAAGAGGGGGAGATACTGGGGTGAGCTCCACTGCCCCCTTCATTCCAGAAGTTCTTGCCTGCCAGCACCTGCCACAGGTTCTGCTTCTGCACCTGCGTCTCCACACAGGCCAGCAAAACTGCAGAGCCGTGCTGATGAGAGCAGCGTATTGCACTGCGTGTACCAGCAAATTATCAGTACAAATAACTGTCCTTCTCCCCCTTATATTGTTTTGAATACAGATCAGTCTGTGAGTATGGCCCATTGTGCACCCCACAAACGACTCTTTGGGCACAACTTGAAGGGGAGCACAGGAGAGGGTCAGGAAGTTCTCAATCTCCAGCTTTTAGGTTATGCTTCTGTATGGGGTGCAGGTGCCCAGGTGTGGGTGGCCCTGTGTGGGGGACAGCTGGTTCCAGCCAGCTCTGTAATGGACCCACTGCAGGTCACAGCTGAGCTCATCAGTGAAGCTGGTGGCATGTCTGTGAAAGCCTGTTTAAGGAAGGGTAAAATGCTGCACGGCAGAGAGGAGTGAGGAAGAAAGTGAGAGAAACAGTCCTCTGAACACCAAGGTCAGAAAAGGAGGAGAGGGAAGAATTGCTTCAGGTGCTGGAGCAGGTATTTCCTTGCATCCCACGGAGGACCCCATGCCGGAGCAGGTGGAGACTTCCAGAAGGAGCTGCAGTCCACAGAGAGGAGCCATGCAGGAGCAGGCTTATGCTGAAGGACTGCAGGCTGTGGAGACCCCACACAGGAGCAGGCTTATGCTGAAGGACTGCAGCTTGCGGAGAGGACCCATGGTGGGGCAGGGGAAAAGTGTGAAGAGGACGGAGCAATAGAAAGGAGCTGTTACAGACTGACTGCAACCCCCCATTCCCCTTTGCTCTGCACTGCTTCAGGCTGGGGGGAGGTAGAGGAGCTGGGGGTGAAGGTGTGAAGTTGAGCCTGGGGAAAGAGGGGAGCATGAGGGGAAGGTGCTGTTTCAATTTGTATTTGTTTCTCACTATTTTAATCTATTTTAATTAGCAATAAATTAATTTTCCTCACATTGAATCAAGTAGTTGAAATTTATATCTGGACTCAAGTCACAGTGGAAAATACTGATTTCTCTTTAATCACTGTAAGCCATTATTGCTTTTAATTTTTTAGCTAGGACACAAAATGGATCAAATTTTAATTTTTAAGAAGTCATTCGGTGCGTAGAAAGGAGCGCACCTTGTTTGAATCAGGAGTTGTGTTTTTTAGTGTATTCTGGTTAGGCCTTTAAAGTTCTGCTTATTCACCTTTTCACTAGAGTAGATCTCAGCTGCAGATTCAACTCATGAACCGGTCTAATCCATTACATTTCTGCTGGAGAAGAATACCAACCATATTTTTACAGGTTTGAGCATGGGAGAATCATTCTGAGGAAAGGATGCTGCAGCAGTAGATTCTACTTTATCTACTCTGGTAGTGTTGTTCTTACAGATGTTAAGGATGCAGCATTTTCATGGCATTATATCTAGCTGTGCTTCAGAAGGGGGAAAAGTTTGGGGTGAGTGGCATCTTTGGTGAAAGTACTGTTAGTCTTGGGAAAAGAAAGAAGCAGAGTTTGGGAATGAGATTTATATTCCTGTGCTGTTTAGAGATTATTTTCCTGAATGAGAAGGTGACTTCCTTAGAAGGTAAGTTTTGTATGTGGGTTCTTAAACCACCTACCAAAAATATCTGGCACTGGTCACCAAGGGTATCTAGGCAGGGTACTAGGTGATATGACGCACTTAATGGTTTCTGATAGGGTCACTGCTTGGAATACAAAATTGATGGATTAGCATTAGCTAAATTAATCTTTAGTTTCTTCCCCTCTCTCCATGTCTCAAGATTGTCTGTTAAAATCCAAGATTGTCTGTTAAAAGGAACATGGTGAATTGTTAGTTGTCTGTATGGAGGACAGAAAGCTATTTGTGATGGATAAAGAAGACTTCTTTGATAGTAAATTAGATGAGCTTCAGAAAGGATTGCACCATCATAACTTCATCAAGTAATTTCTTCCGATGATATCGCTCACTTTTGATTTACTTACTGTAAATCTTACTTTCTACTTATTGTATGATCTATTCCATAAGCCTTCCTGGCTATGTCAAGGCCATAGAAGAAATGCATATAACAATTCTCTTTTCTCTTGAAGTTCTATGAAAGGGAAAGGAATTCCTCATTTTGCAGCTTTCAGGGACAGCCATACCTGCTTAGCCACCAGCTGCTCTGGAAGAATACATGATTATCCATGTTCCCTAGCTACCAAAAAATCTTTTGCACTGAAGTACTCCATACATTTGTGAACTTGGATCAGGCAAAGTGAATTTGGCATCTTTTATTTAAAAAAAAAAAAAAAAAAAGGCAAACTACCCTGGAACCAAATTTACCATCTTCAGGAGCTGTGGCCTAGGGTTTATCAGTTGCAATGGTAAAAAGACCAATTTTTTCATAGTGAAACGTGTTTTTATTCAGCCAGTTCAATCTATGAAAAAAGTGTCTCCATTCCTTTTATTTCAGACTTGTGAACTTCTTTGCAAAATGATCTGAGAGATCACTAGTGAGATAGCTAATAACTGCAAAATGGAAAAGTTTCACTGTGGACAGGTGGTAACAAGATACCATAAAGTCAGCCAGCATAATTGTCATTAGTAAGGTAAGATCTTTCAGACATTAACCACAGGCTAATACTTTTGGTGGTATGCTGACATTTATTCTGATCTTGCAAACAAAAATAGTGATTGAGCCATTGCAGAAAGAACTGGGAAATAAAGCACTTCATAAAATACTAGTCTGTGGTGGGTTTGGTTTCTGTTGGCTTTCTTGTGCTTTTACTTAGTGTTCAGCTCCTTTGCGTACCCTGTGTAGGATCTGTTTTATCCTCTCTCTTATGTAGAATAAGTTAATAGTTATTAGAGCATAATACACAAGTTCTTCATGGCAAGATATATGATATTTCATATATTTTCTAACAGAACTAGTTAAAGTGTTTGAATATTATTGGTAATTGTCAGAAGACATTTGAGAGAAACTTCACATGTTCTGTATTCAGTCTTTTACCTGTGTTTTGCTTTTGGAATTGATGAATTCCCATTTCTTTGAGAGTAGTTATTAGCAATGAAGTGACTGTCTTCAAATGAGCCATAGGTTCCTGACTGCAGCAGAAATGGCTTCAGGTAGGGAAACTGGAACCGTATTTAATTTTGAGTGGCGAGAATTTCTGAAGAGAAGAGGCACTTGGAGCCACCTCTGCACTCACAAAAACATTAGCTTTTGGGCATAAGGCTGTAAAGATCAGTAAGGTTTCCAGAGAGGTTTGACTGGCATCATACGCAAATGTATTATGCTGTGAGGCAGCAATGCTTCCTGCTTTGTTATGAGATGCCTAAAATACTTTGTGTTTGTTATTTAGTGTCTTGCTGCTGATGTACCAGCGGAATGATACAAAGAAGAGAGTCCACAATAAATGTTTTGTTTAAACCCAGAAACAGAGGCAACTGCTGGCATATTTTATTTTTTTCCATGGGTAGCTATCTTGAGATATTTGAGGAGTAAAAAACTGGGATGATTTTTTTTCTCTATAGCATTGTCTGGTGACAACAGATAATATGTTAAGTTTATTTGGAGGGTTTTCTAGGATCAGGATCAGGTAGTGCTAATAATATTACAGATTGTTAATACTGCCATTTGGGCTTTCTTTTCAGATTTCCAGTTGCCATAACTTAATTTCTTCAGCGGCGTTTTGTCTCTACATTCCAGTGGTCATGCTGTCTCTGGGATGTGAAGTATTGTGGCCTTGTTTACTAATTTAGTCAGAAAAGATTTGTTTGCCATTACTTAGATGATTTACAGAAGGGTTAGTACAGTTGGCTGTCTAGATAAAAACTATTTTCCAGAGATGGAATTATTTAAGGCTGCTGAGAAGGCAACACTGGCTTAAGATGGTGAGTGAGTACTGACATTTTGAGGAATTGGAGGGGAACAATTTTTTTGTCATTGTTGAATCATAGCATTCACCAAGGGCTGATACCTGAAGCAGAACTTCTTTTGCACAGGTCAGCAAGCGTTTATCTTCTTTGCCCATAGAGTAAGAAGTGAACTAGCATTATTGGCTAGTTGACCAGCACTCACTCGGATTCCTTCTTGCTGTTTTAGAATGAATGGTTAACCTTTGGCTACATGAGGAGTAAAATTTCCCAACAAAATATTTTGGCTGTCTTCTCGGTG